GAAACTCTAATTATCCCTTTACAAATAAGGAAGCTGAACTGAAACAGCTTGCCCAAGGTTACATTGCCACTAAGTGGCAGAGCTGGGACTAGAATCTCGGTGGTTGGGTTCCAGGGTCTGTAGTTAACAACCATTCACCACACTTTACTGCCTCTCTAGCAAAGATTAAATGAACAAACGAACGCAGCTTTGCAAAGCAGAATGTTAACACCAACTTCAGATCTAGAAAACTTGGATCGTTTTTACAAAAAGATGTTTAAAAAGTATAGTGTTTACCTTCTTACTAAAATTGTCTACTCCCCAGCACCACTAACGCTCCCACCTGTGCCAACATGGAACATCTGAAGGCAGTCCAATTTCCTAAAGTGTCACCTGTATAGCCACTTAATTTATGCCAGTTATCTGCAAAGTGAAGTCTCCCACATCAGCAGCTCTTACCCTCCAACAGTAATTTTTTTAAAAAGAAAGAAAAGCAACCATTTCTAAACACAGCATTCAATCAGAATTTCCAATCTCTTCATCCAAAAATTGTTTTAATGAATGTAAGCTAAGGACATCTGAAAAGTATTATCCACCCACTCCCAGCTGATGAAACCTAAATAACAAAAGGTCAAGCATCAGAGCTGGTAGCCAGGCCTTTCAAACAGGGAACACTATACCTGAGACATAGAACATAGTGGCTAAATAATGATTGTCTCAGTCAAACAGACCTGCATCAGAATTTTTGTTCAGCCACTTACCATTTTCATAAATGCAAAATATGGCTAACAAAAGTATGTATCCCATAGGCTGTTGTGAATGTGAGTAGAACACTGTGTGGGAGGTAAAAACACTTCGTATGTGTTAGCGCCAAATTTTTATTCTAGAGACTTGACAAAGTCATCCATTTTTGTTTCAGGCAGAAGAGCACAAGAACCACTCCCACTGACAGCTTCCTAGTTTCTCCTTTAAACTTTAGAGGAGCATCTGCACTGAGAGACTGGAATGGTATGCTGGTTAAGGGCACTGGCTCTGGGATTTGTATTCCAGCTAGTCCACTGGACTCCTGTGCCTCATTTGAGGTTTTTTTCATCTGTGAAATGGGGATAATGATAAAAACATTATCCATTTCATAGGGTTATTATGAGGCTTAGTCAATACATGAAAAATGCACACAACAGCACCTGAAGGACAATAAATGTACAGTAAATATGGGTCACTACTTCTCCCCATAGGTGATGTATTCCAAATTTTTAGTTCACAGAGAACAATGTAATTACTTTGGAACTCTATAGAATGTTAGAGCTGGAAGAGATCTTAGAAAGCACTTCTAGTCCAACTCTCTCATTGATTAATTGGTTGTCAAGGAGGACCAGAACTAAATAGCCTGACCAGGATTAATATCCAGGCCTCCTAATTTCTTTTCTTTTTTGAGACAGAGTCTCACTCTGTTGTCCCAGGCTAGAGTGCAGTGGCGCCATCTCGGCTCACTGCAACCTCCGCCTCCCAGGTTCAAGCAATTCTCCTGCCTCAGCCTCCCGAGTAGCTAGGATTACAGCTGTGTGCCACCACGCCTGGCTAATTTTTGTATTTTTTAAGTAGAGATGGTGTTTCGCCATGTTGGTCAGGCTGGTCTCGAACTCCTGACCTCAGGTGGTCCAACTGCCTCAGCCTCCCAAAGTGCTGGGATAACAGGCGTGAGCCACCGCGCCTGGCCTGGGTCTCCTAATTTCTATTTAGTGCTAAGTCCACATCACTGTGCTGCTGCTTCTTAATGAAAACAGTAGAGATCATTCAGTCTTTCCTCCCTGCAAACCACCAGGCCATCTTCCAGAAAGAGCTAGAGCTAAACATCTGGGAAGAAATCCATCTCATTAAGACTTTCAGCAACCATTGCCCCAGGTAGCACTTTTTTTGGGAAGTAGGGGAAGTGGGATGTAATCTATTTCCCAAGAATCCATACCCAAGAGATACATGAAACAAAAGTTTGAAATAGTATGAATTCCTTTTAGGGATTATACTGGTTAATATTTATTAAATACTTTCTAAGTGTTTGACACAATATTAAGTGCCTTTTGTTTTTTGATTGAATCCTCCCAACCCACTCCCACTGCCCTAAGCTGCCCTTCTATGTGCTCCTGCAGCTACCTAGTATTTCCCTGCTCAAAGTATATATCACGCTGCCATGTAACTGTCTGCTTACTTGTCTTGGTATCTTACCAGACTGTAAGCTGAAAAAAGGACCGGAATCACAATCATCATGTTTATCATTCATTTCCTCTTTCAACAAATATTCCTGAGCATGAACAAGACAGAAATAGTCCTAGTTCACTGTGGCAGATATGCCCTTCTTACAATGTGACCTCAACATACCTCCCACTGGGGGTGAGGGTGCGATCCTAATATCCCATTCCCCTGAATCTGCCCCTACAGGGTACAGTGGAAGTGATGCTATGTGCCTTGTAAGGCTAGATGACAAAAATGCCATGCATTTCCACCTTGTTCTCTTATGGCACTCACTCTTGGAATCCAGCCTCCCATAAAGCTACTGTGAGGAAACCCATAGTAGCCTATGCAGAAAGATCAGATGGAGAGGTAACCAGTTTAGCCGAGGCCCCAGACATCATAGAACAGGGACAAGCCTTTCCCAGTGTGCCTTGAATTCCTTACTCACACAATTGTGAGCATAATAAAATGATTTCTTCATGCCCACTAAATTTTGGGGTGATTTATTACACAACAATGGTAACAGGAACAACCACACAAAGCTTAATATTGAACAAGGAATAAAGATACAAAATACCTGACTCCAAGGTATTACCTACACCTAACACAGTAACTCAAACAGAGTAAGTTATTTGTTGAGTGTCTGAAGTAGTTATGATGCCTATTTTGCAGATGAGGAACTGAGGCTTTGAGAGTTAAGAAACTTGCCCAAGGCTACTCAGCTAGTGAGTGGCAGAACAAATTAAAACTCAGATCTAGGCCTGATGCAGTGGCTCATGCTTATAATCCCAACACTTTGGGAGGCCCAGGAGGGAGGATCACCTGAGGTCAGGAGTTTGAGACCAGCCTGGCCAACATGGTGAAACTTCATCTCTACTAAAAATACAAAAAAAATACAAAAAAAAAAAAAAAATTAGCTCGGCATAGTGGCACACGCCTGTAGTTCCAGTTACTCAGGAGGCTGAGGCAGGAGAATCACTTGAATCCAGGAGGCAGAGGTTGCAGTGAGCTGAGATAGCACCACTGCACTCCAGCCTGGGTGGCAGAGCAAGACTCTATCTCAAAAACAAAAGCAAGCAAACAGAAAAAACAACAAAGAAAAAACACAGATCTAAACTCACGTATCTAACACACTACTCTTCCGTTACTCTCAGTACTTACAATTTTACTGTAAATATACAGTAGTCTGGCTGGGTGCAGTGGCTCACACCTGTAATCCCAGCATTTGGGAGGCCAAGGCGGGCAGATCATGAGGTCAGTAGTTCAAGACCAACCTGGCCAACATAGTGAAACCCCGTCTCTACTAAAAATACAAAAAATTAGCCAGGCGTGGTGGTGGACACCTGTAATCCCAGCTACTCGGGAGGCTGAGGCAGGAGAATCGCTTGAACCCAGGAGGCAGAGGTTGCAGTAAGCTGAGATCATGCCATTGGACTCCAGCCCAGGCAACAGTGTGAGACTCTGTCTAAAAAACAAAACAACAAAACAAACAAACAAACAAAAAGGCAGTCTGTTTTAAAATGGGATTGTCAGTATTTAAAACATTCTGGCCTAACAGGATTTGTCATGCAGTTTCATCACTGAGATGGAAACCCACATATCACATTCTCCAAAAAGCTTCTCCTGACCTTTATAACTCAAGTGATGCCAGCTTCCCCAACCTCCCCAGCGTTTCTACTTCCTATTCCATCACAGTCTTGTTGTTTTCCCAGCACTTATTCCTAGCTGAAACTGTCTTATTAATTTGTTCATGAGTCTACTCTGTCTCTCTGACATGAATATAAGCTCCACGAGAGTAGGAACCTTGTCTGTCCTGTTTACAGCTATATCCCTAGTGCCTAGAACAGTGCCTGAAATACAGGAGGTGATCAAAAATTATTTATGGAATGAAGGAATGATTGCATTCAGGCAAAATGAATGCCCACTCAATCTTATTACTCACCAATTGATGTGAAAATAGAGAGGATAAGAGAAAACAAAAACAGAAGGATTGCAGCAGAATCATTCCATACAGTAAGGTCAGTGGGAAAAAAATGGAAGAGGGGTTGGGATCCATGCTACAATTCATCTACTTAGAAAACCATAAACCCTGAGTTCACAGACTGTCAATCCAACTTTCAGCTAAGTAAGGGCTGATGAGGAGAAAGGTGTTAAAACTTAGAATGGAGATGCAGGTAATGGATGGAGTAGGGGGCCACACCTCCTAACTTCCATTCATAACCACCCATCGCTCATTCACAAAAACACTTCGCTGAACCACAGCAAGGACAATTGTTGGGGATCCTTAAACAGCAGACCTTCTCCCTTCACCCTGCCCTTCTTATGCACTAGATCCAGCTACCTGGGATGCAGGTGCTGTCTCCCAAAGGCAAGCAAGTGGCAGTAACCTAGCTCTTCACGGAAGAGGCAAGGAGAGAAATCTTCAGACCTAGGGCAGGGTTCTCTACATATGCAGGTCCCCAACGGTTCTATTTCTCCTGGGTGGGAAGGTGACCGCTCCTCAGGACCTCCCAAGTGCTAGGCACTGTGCCGGGCTCTTAAACATGCTTTTCTTAATTTACGGGCCATTCCTTCCCCCCAACCCAGTAATTTAGAGAGGCCTCAAGTAGAACTTCATTCCCCAGACCCGCTACTCTCTACCCCAAGAAATCTTCAAACTCCAGGAGTGATTGGGGAAGATAAAAAGAAATCTGGCGTGGTCTAAGAGATAGAACGGGAGGGGAACGGTGTTAGGGCAAGAAGAGGTTATACTGGGCTGGGGCCCAGGATCAGTAAAGATAAGAACGCGGTCTGACCCTTTCCAAGCCCATTATGTCCATCAGAGGAGATGACGAGGAGCAGGAAACTGAAGCCCAGCAAACAGGTGGCCCCGAGACGAGGCCGCGTCTCCATGGCAGTAGGTGCGCGGGGCCACGGGGCTGAGCGGACGGAGGGCCTGAGTCCCAGCAGACGGTCCACACCGTTCGCCGAGCGCGGCTCAGCACAACCCCTCTCCTTCCCAGATTTTTTTTTTTTCAAACTCTGGAGGAAGTGATGTTAGACGGATGTGGGTGGTGCCTCCGGGGTCCGGTTTGGGATGGAGTGAGTTTAAAGGTGCAGATCACGTAGAAGGGTACGAAAGCTGTTCTCGAGCGCGAGTTGCTTTCCATGGATTCTGGGTGTCCAGGTCCCGAGACGGAGCGGGAAAATGTGGGCCAAGATAGTAAGGGCGGGAGAGAGGTTCAGGAGAACCGTTGCTGCTCGCGTTCGCCACCAGTCCAGCCCCTCCCCCCAAGAACCGCTGCACTTCCTAGTCAAACGCAAATTATTGATTCGTGAGGTCAGTCGCTCCCAACAGTGGGCGAATTGCCCACTGGCCTCGGATTCTCCTTCCCCCTCCACAAATAAAGACTGGACGACTGGATTTCATTGTTAGGTTCCTGCCAGGGTCTCCGAGGAGACCTGGCAAGCCTGTTCTGCGGTGCGTGGGCTCGTGCCGTGCAGGCATGCACTTCCCCGCTGGAGAAGCTCTATACCTTATTTTTCCTTGCAACCGCAAATCTTCTACTCAGGGATGATGCAACCAACTGATGCAAGCTCCGAGAAAACCAAACTTGGAGCCTCTTATTGCAAAACTGACTTAGGTGGACTTAGGACACCAGGACAGAAGTCACTGCAGGCTAAAGTGTAAAGCTTCTGGTTATTTTTCTTGTAGGTTGAGGATTTCTTCCCAATTTTTCCCCTCCGCTGTATAACAAACAGGTGAAAATGTCCGGTCTTTTTCTTCCTGGTACTAGTTGAGTCCTAAAGTCCGTACTTAATGCATAGCGAAAAAGCAACCTAACAAAAGTACACACCCAAACAAAAACATACCGACCGCCCTTTTATTAGGTTCCTTAAAATTGTAGGCAGGGACACAATGGAACGCTCGGGAGACTGCAAGCCCCAGGATGCTGCGCGGCCACCTGCACCTGCCGCCACTAGCACTAGAGGGATGCGCAAAGTAGGCAGGGCGTTGGAGTTCAGATGTGCGCTCCCGGGATAGGCTGCCCCGGAGAGGGAGAGGCGGGGTCGGGTGTGTCACGTGGACCTGCTCCCGCCGCAGCTGCCGCCGCCGCCGTCGTCTTTCTCTGTCTCGGCTGAGGCAGCCATCTTGCTGTTGCCGCGTGCTGGTGTTGGAGGACCCTCCCTGCTTCAGGTGAGACCCCCGGCGGTCCCGCCACTCCACGGCCATAGGCCGCTGCGCACGGTCTCCCCCCGCCCTCTCCTTTCGACACCCGCCAACCGCTCAGGCTGCCACTTCCGCCGTGGTGCGGCGAGCGGGGGCGGAGGCGGCTGGCTTGGCCTGTCGGTTGCCGGCGGCGCAGCTGGGGGTCGGCACCTGTGGGAAGGTCCCCAGCACCACCGCCCGCTGTGGGAGCGAGCGGGCCCGCGCTGTTGCCGCCGAGATCCCGTCCCAGGAGGCGGGTGGACGCCCCTCCTCTGTCCCATTACTCCTCATTCACAACAGCAGTGTTGTGTGCTTTGGGCTTTATACATGCTCTCTGTTGTCATCTCATTTGATGCTCCCAGCCTACAGATAGGGACGCTGAGGTTACCACTTCCCGCCCTCAAGTCCAGGGAACCGAACTCAGTTGCAGCGCTCTTCACCTTGTAATGGCAATGTTTGTTTACAAGTCGGCGTCCCTTGCCTATCTTTATAACCCCCTCTCACTGCCTGCTGACTGACCGACAGGCTGAGTGTTGCACAGCTAGTGAATGGCGGTTTCAACTTCCGTTCCCACGTTCTTGCAGTTTACCATAGTTGTCCCCTCGGGAGTGGTAACAATAGTTACCAGTAACTGTGTATCTTCTGTGAACCATTCCCTGTGGTTGATAATGTTTTAACCCTCAAAACAACTCTGTGAAGTACGTGGTGTTATACTTTTGCAAATGCAGGAGGAAAACAAGTTCAGAGAAGAAAAATACCTTTCCCAAGTGGTAGAACCTTGGTCTTTCTGATTCCAAAGCCTGCGCTCGTTAGAGAAACCCTGCATAATAAAAAGTCAGGACTCAAGGTTGCAATTATTTTTATCTCTGTGTAAACATGATGTATGTGAAAGTGCCTACCACAATGCTTCTAACTTAGGCACTTAATAAATATAGATAAACCTGTTTACACCCTTTCTTGAGTCCTTGAGAACAGTGCTAAAAGATCCTGGGATCCCCAAGGAAGAACTCATTAATCATGTGGCTTTAGGAAGTTACTTCTCCCATTTGGGCCTAGGAAGGGACTTCTCCCTTCTGGGCCCTCATTTCCTAATCTATTAAGATGGGAGGGAGGGAACTGTTTTGTTTGTAATTTACACTTTGCTGCTGCTAGCAGGTGTTGAGATGACATCACAGACAGGAATGATGGGTGCAATAAAGTAAAGGTTGATTGAGAACAGGGAATTAAACTAGGTGATCTTGGAGGTCTACTCCAGATTCTGAGCTTGACATCTCATAGACAGTCCAGTCCTCTTTCCTACTTGAATTCCACACACCACAACTTGCTAAGAAACAAAAGACCACTCTTCTTCCTCCCCTACTACCTTGAGCTCTCAGTCTACCTAAAATCCTTTTTCTCTGAGATACTCCTTAGGAACAAAATTTCTCAATTCTGTTGTCCTGACCACCTGGAATGGAATCTGTTCTTTCATCTATACCTTGATTTGAAGAGTGAATTTTGTTCTTGCTTTTATTTCAAACAAGTCAAGACTTTGTCTTGGCATCCCAACCTCTGTCTCTTCTCTTGGGAATTGTTAATTCAAAATGCAAAAGAATCCCAAAGGGTTTACCCAGTATCTAGGTCTAAAGTTTTTCCTTAGCCCCACTTTTTTTTTTGCAATAAATTCCTTAGGCTCTTTGTTAGTTCACTACACTCTCATGGCCACATTCCTTTGAGAAAAGTGAATGTTGATCGTTTTCTGTGGATATTTGAGCATAGGAATTGGGATTTCAGTCATCAAATTTAAGTCTATGGCAGAGCTAAGATTGGCACACAGTTAAGACTTCTTGTTTTGAACTCTAAACACACTTCCTCCTATAAAAGTGTTTTTAGCTGCTTCAGCATTGTGATACAGTGCTGAGCAGAGTGAAGAATCATAAATTCTAAATATTATTTGGGATCTGGACATTAGCCTTAAAGAAGAGATATATACAGGTTAGTGCCTAAGTACAGTGTCAAAGTACAAAGTGGTTAGTAATTATATAGTCTTCGATGCTCCTTTATTAATCTCTCAAATGAAGCAAACAGTATCTTTTTCATGGGAATGATGACTATACAGGGTTTAGAGAATTGGCCAAGAAAGGTTTGATAACAGCCTAGTCCTTTATTCCCTCCTCCACATCTCAGTAATGATTTGTTGATCCACAGAACAAGTAAAACAAGACTTTTATTTTGGTAGTTGTTGTTTTGTTTTGTTTTTTTTGAGATGGAGTTTCACTCTTGTTGCTCAGGCTGGAGTGCAATGGCACAATCTCGGCTCACCACAACCTCTACTTCCCCAGTTCAAGCGATTCTCCTGCCTCAGCCTCCCGAGTAGCTGGGATTACAGGCATGTGCCACCATGCCTGGCTAATTCTGTATTTTTAGTAGAGACAGGGTTTCTCCATGTTGGTCGGGCTGGTCTCGAACTCCCAACCTCAGGTGATCCACCCACCTCGGCCTCCCAAAGTGCTGGGATTATAGGCGTGAGCCACCATGCCGGGCCTTGATTGGCTTTTCTTTGTTTATGTAATGTGGAATGTTATGACCCATTATAAACTTAAAAATATTTTTTTCTTAGTGGGAATTCACTGACCAGACTAGATTCATGATGTTAGAATCTTCAAAATCAAGATTACCTTTAAAAAGCTTGTTTTAGGAGTCTCCTCTCCCCCCCAACGTTTATTACTGTAGCAAAGATATGTTTTTGTTAAATTGTGCAATGAAGCATTTTACCCTGTAGGCAAGAATATCTTGACAAGTATAACATACTGTATCAGTGCAGGGTATTGAATGAACTCTGGAGAATGCTGCAGAAGCACCGAACGTCTGAAAACCTGGTTCTCTTTCCCCATTATTAACATACCATCTGACCTTGAATAGAGGATGTGACTACTTGATATCTTGACAGCTAGACATTTTGTTGAATTTCTTCTTCAGCTTTTTTTTCCTTTTATCATCTTTATGGTTTATAAGAAATACAGAATGTGATTTGGGAGGGAAAAAAATCTACTTGAAGATTTTGCTAATAACATTTGGTAACAGCTCTCTGCTGTAAAAATCTTTGGGGGAAAAAGCTGGCTTGCCTACAGAGATTTCATAATTGGTTAGGCTTAACTGAATGCCAAAGGATTGAATCATGTTTTAAGGAGGGATCTTTGAATAGGTGACTTTGAATCCCATTCTATTTTATTTGTATATTTGATTCCCTCATGGTAATTTAATTTTGATTTTTAAAAATACCTGGTTTATGAAGCTAGAACAAGTTATTAATGTTTATTAAGAATATAGACAGTATTAACATGGTCATGGTGTTGATGCATACTACAAGCTCAGTGAACCAGAAGGTACTGTTGCATAAACAGTTTGTTGATTTCGGTAAAAGAGTGACTTTAACAAATCTATTTTTCCCCCCCTAGATTTACCAACAGCATGAATCAAGAAAAGTTAGCCAAACTTCAGGCTCAGGTCCGGATAGGGGGCAAGGTGAGTGTGGCATAAGAAAAACTGATAGGAGAATGTATGTAACCAGATAGTGTTACTATTTCAGATTTGTGGTCATTGAAAATCTAAAATCTTTTCAATAATCAAGATCAAACCACATTCGAATTTGAAAATAACTTGTCTGGATCTAAAATAGGTAACTAGAACACTCTTCTCTCTGATGATGCAATGGAAATAGCCACATTTGTTTGAATCCTAACTCTTAACATCTGCTAGTTATATGATGTGAACAAGTTATCCAACCTTGTTAAGATTCCACTGTCTTACCTGCAAAATAGAAATAATCCTACATAAGGTATTTAAAGATTAGGGTAATATCTATAAAACACCTAACATGGTGTCTAGCACAGAGTAGATGCTTAATAAATGATAGCTGTTATGGTTAGACTCACTTGCAGGGCGTGGCAGATGTTAGGGTTACTTCATCTTGACTGGATATTACCTACTTGTACAGAGGTTTAGCTGGAGATGCTTAAGTTGATTATATATTTTGTTCATTGCTAGGTTTTCCTCACAAATTCTTACCTGTTTTTCCATGTTGGTGAATATGAATGTGAGCTTTCTTATTCCCTGTACTTTTTAAAGCCTAAGGAAGAGCTAGTTGTGAACAACAAAAGTCTTTGATTCTCTTCAGCTGTGGCACCAGGCTCAAGGAGAATATTCTACCCATGTCTCTGCCCAGTACAATCTTTGCAAAAGGGAAAGAAAGAATAGTACTTACCTCAGACCTGAAGTGGTAGGCAGGACACTGCTTTTTGTAGTGGGTCCCAGTATGTCATTTACACGGACAATAACCACAGCTTCTGGGGATGAGCACAAGGGAAGGGAAGAAGAGCCAGTACTTTCTCCTTCTTCCACAGTGATACAGTTATATGAGTCTGGAGTTAGATTAACACAGTCATGTAACCACAGTAGTCACATTGTACCATCAAGTGTGATGTGAGTGCCAATGCAAAAACTAGGGATAGTCAAGAACCATATAATATACCTAGAAGAGCGAGCTTGATGTAGCACATGGCCATTATGTATTTTGAAACTGTGGTTGGTACATTCAATTTAGCTATTGTATATTGAGCACCTACTATGTGCCAGGCACATAGAAGATAAACAAGATCACAACTCTGCTTGGGAGAGAGATGCTTACAATTATAATGGAGAATAGTGAGCGTTATAATGAAGTACAAGGTGCTCTTGCCTAGAGGAGACAAGGAAGTCATTACTGAGCTCTTATTTAAAGGATAAACAAGAATTTATCACTAGACAGAAAGGTAATGGCTGGCAGAAATGTAACGGACAGTGGCTCACGCCTGTAATCCCAGCACTTTGAGGGGCTGAGGTGGGTGGATCACTTGAGGTCAGGAGTTCAAGACCAGCTAGCCAACATGGTAAAACCCTGTCTCTACTAAAAGTACAAAAATTAGCCAGGTGCGGCAGAGCACACCTGTAGTCCCAGCTACTCAGGAGGCTGGGGTAGGAGAATCACTTGAACCCGGGAGGTGGAAGTTGCAGTGAGCAACTCCAGTCCAAGATCGCACGACTGCACTCCAGCCTGGGCAACAGAGCAAGAGTCCATCTCAGGAAAAAAAAAAAAAAAAAAGAGGGTTCATGGAGGTAGAGTAAAAAGGGTTGTTATTTCCATACTTGCAAAGGCACATACGGTGCTAAGATAACACGGTACTTAATGGAATGGCTTGCTTTAATTTGGTACAGCTATTCTTTTTTTTTTTTGAGAGGGAGTTTCAGTCTTGTTGCCCAGGCTGGAGTGCAATGGCACGATCTCGGCTCACTGCAACCTCTGCTCCCAGGTTCAAGCGATTCTCCTGCCGCAGCCTCCCAAGTAGCTGGATTACAGGCATGCGCCACCGTGCCCAGCTGAATTTTTGTATTTTTAGTAGAGATAGAGATGGGGTGTCTTCATGTTGGTCAGGATGATCTTGAACTCCTGACCGCAGGTGATCTGCCCGTCTTGGCCTCCCAAAATGCTGGGATTACAGGTGTGAGCCACCGCGCTCAGACCTTTTGTTTGTTTGTTTTTGAGACGGAGTCTCTGTTGCCCAGGCTGGAGTGCAGTGGCGCAATCTCAGCTCACTGCAAGCTCGCCTCTCAGCTTCACGCCATTCTTCTGCCTCAGCCTCCATATAGGTGCCCGCCACCACGCCCAGCTAATTTTTTTTTTTGAGACTGAGTCTCGCTCTGTCGCCCAGGCTGGAGTGCTGTGGCCGGATCTCAGCTCACTGCAAGCTCCGCCTCCCGGGTTCCCGCCATTCTCCTGCCTCAGCCTCCCGAGTAG